GGCTGGCTGGGGAATTCTGGGAGTTGAAGTCCGCACGTCTTAAAGTGGCCAAGTTTGAAAAACACTGTGCTAGCAGAAAGCCAATATTGTGAGAATTTAGGCAGTTTATCAGCTGTGTCAGAAGGTTGCATGGAAAGGAATTTTGCCTGGGGGGAGTCGGCCACGGTATCTTGCCCCAGGAGAGGGAAACAAATGCCACCTCCAAAATGGCCCTTTCCAGGGGGGTCGCCCCACCAGCTGGCACATTCCTGCCGTGCCAGCAGAAAAGCGTCAAAGCAGCAACCGCACGCCAGCCCCAAAGAGGCACATTTAGCGTGGGCAGGAAACAGGCCCCCAACGTACAAAACAGGAAACATCGGGAGGAAAACCAAAAGGGGCGAGGAGGCTGTTGAAAGAGGAGGGGAAAAGGAAGAAAAAAGTTCTGCTTTTCTAGGTTTTGCCAGTGCAAATTCCTAGTGCGTGAAAATAACAAAGATGTGGGGGGTGGGGGTGGAAGGGAGAAGGAATAAACCGCTTTTGATAACGAAACTGTGCAAAAGACCTGGGGAAGCATCTAAGCTGGCCTCCTACAATCCGGTGCCCATTTAAGAATGCTGCAAGGTTTATACCCCGCTCCCCCGGATAAGTCGTAAGTCAATCTGACGAAATGAATAAAAATAAAGACATCTTCCTTGGTCCCCTCGCAGGGGGCCCAGGGGGGCTGGGGTCAAGGCAGACACCCCCCATCCTGTGTCGGGGATGCTGAGTGGGAAGGTGCTTGAGCGTACTTGAAAGCCCAGGGCTGTCCTCAGCAGGGTTGGGGGTGAGGGCTATCACACAGGTCGTGATGTCATCGCAGTGACGTCATGGGAGCATGACATCACACTGGGTTCCATCAGAAGCCTACGCAAGAAGGGTGGGCTCGCTCACTGTTCCCTGGCAGCCTTAATCGCTCATCTGTCTCCGCCAACTCTGAGAAAGCGAGAGAAGCGGGACAGGGATGTTGCTGAACGGTGCAAATGGGTGGACCTATATTTTGCCCCCCCAGGGGTGAAATCCTGTCCTCTATTTTTGAAGCCAGAAGGGCAGCCGTGTTAGCATGATGGCGGACACACGCTTGGTTCACGCGACCTGTTACACCACGCTTTCCTTACCCGAGGTTGCTCTGCTCCCCAGACTTGGCTGGGTTCACACATTAAGCCATAACGCATGGTTTGCAAAGGGCAAGGCATTAAGCCATTCACAAGTAAACCATATTCCTCCTGGAGAAACAGCTTTTCGTGCCTATTAATCAGGACCCCGAAATAGAACCTGCATCAGCAGCAGCAGTGTTCCTTAATCACTTGTGAAGGGACAACTGCTGGACGATTTATCGCATTTACCTAAATTAGTAGATCAAGCAGGTGTCTTCCAATAGCTCCAAGTCCCATCATCCCCTGCCCTCAATCGGTAATCAAATGTCAACATACCCGGAGAGCGCCAGCTTGACGAAGCTAAAGCTAAGGCACCTTCCCCGCCCACTTGCCCCGAGATCTAGAGTCGGGGCCGATGACTCGACACAGAGCGCATGCGCCTTAACCGGCGGTTGCAGGAAACTGTCCCGGGGCGGCCTCCGTAGCGCGTTGTAGCCAAGGTTCCGCGCGCCTCAAGTGTCTCCGCTCAGGCGCCGTAGCGCGCGAGAAAGTAGCGAGCGCGGCCTCGCGTTGCCATGGCGGCGGGCGAGGGCCGCGGAGGGGAAGGTGTGCTGTGGGGCTCTCGCGGCCCGGGACGCCCCGTCATGGAGGACGAGCTTTACCTGGAGAACATCGACGAGTTCGTCACGGACCAGAACCGAGTCGTGAGTGCGGTTGCGGATGGCGGCGGGAGGTGGGGGGGGGGGAGGGCCAGTGAGGGAGTCAATTAATTTCTGGAATCCGTTTTATTTG